GGGGGGAGGTGTGGTGGTGAAGGATGTCTTACCAACCTCTAATAACCGAGGGTACCAGATGGTAGCCATGTCGTCACAGAAGAAAGCACAACGAGCAGTGTCATTTTGAGTTTTGCGATAATGAGGGGATGGAAAGAAACATAAACGGGAGCACAGAAATTTGTGTCTTTTACTATGACATTAAAAAAATGAAGCTAATCACGCATATCAACTTCTTTTATTAGTCATCATCAAATAGAAAAGGACAGAGGGAAAAAGAAAAAGTTAAACACATTTCAAGATAATGCCATTTCATATACACAGCCTTATCAATTTCCGAAGTAACAAAGATTAGAAGCATACCTTACGGGGCAATTCAGAGAAATTCTTGATGGCCCCTCAATAATCTCAGAATCTGCATAAACAAAGTAGTATATAAGGATTTCTCTTCAGACTTTCAGTTGGGGGATGATGGGAATGGTGAACTTTAACAATACATCTAGTCAAGTTGGCCAACAAGAACATGTAACAAAGTCAGTGTAGAAACGCCAAAAACTTTGACAAAAAGATCTCAGCAGTAATTTTCTTCCTGTGAAAAATACAATAAGAGAAAACCTGGATCAACAGAAGAAACAGGAGGCTGCTCATAATCAGGGAGCGTGGCCTCGACAGGGGTAGAGATCTCACTCATGAAGGCGACAGCTATGACATAATTTCCTTCACAATGAACACAGAGAAGAGTTAGTACTATACAGTTAAAAAAAACGGAACGTATTTTCAAACATACCATTAAATTGGCCCACAGCTTGAAGAAGATTCGTTCCAAATTTAAGCATTTGCGATACAGGAGTTGGAGGCTGAGGTCCAGGGTCCTACCAAAACAAACATATAAGTAATTTGAGCCCCAATAAGACATAAGACATCCCTATACAAACACATCTCCAAAGTTTTAGCAGTAACAAACCATTAACTCAATATTCCTCTTTCCCACTGCCGTCCCATTTAGGAGAAAGCTGCACAAGTAAAATGAACGGCAATCAGAATTGTCAGAGGAATAAACCTGTCAAATATGAAGACAATAAGTGGACATCATTTCACTCAGTAAAAGCTGTAAAAGATTTTCGTACCTCACTTGAGGAGGCGTTATAAGACATAGTGAGGTCTCCAGATTATCTAATTGTGCAACAAATAATCTCTGCAGATAAAAGGAAACATAAAAATGAGCCATATTTCCAGGGCTAATCAAGGTTTCCAACTTTGACGAGTTGCTGGAACGAAAAATAAGAAGTCAAGAGAAATGAACTGATGAATAACAAAATACAGGTAATGAAAGCACAGATAATGTCCTCAGTCAATACTGAGACTCTTATGTACTTGCTGCAAAGGAAAGAAGATACACAGGTGTAATTTATGGTAATATGTATAAGTGTTCTTACTGCTTTCTCTCCTTTAGAAAGCTTTGTATTCTTCGTTATTTGGAAATCATTCACGAAGGCACCAAATCCAGGCTACACGATTGACAAAAAATACGGCATCAGTATCACCAGCAATACAGTTACACTAGCTCACAGGCCACCCCTAAGGAGATGTGTTTTAAGTTACTACCTTGGCTTCGAGGAAACAAATTATCTGACCCATTTTCAGCCGTGGATAAAATCTGCAAATTTGCACACAAGCAAGTGACTGAAATGTAGTTAAGCACATACACCAAAGAAAAAATTGAACTAACCAAGTAGACTCAATTATGGAAAAATTAACCTCTAACCGAACAGTGGAAGAAAGCCATAAGATATACATATCACAGCACCAAATAACAGCTAGCAAATGCTGAATATGAGTAAACTATAACTTAGTGGTTATACAAATGTACAAGTTATCAGGCCATAACATCAGACAATACCTGCAATCCATACAGAAATATAGGACCCAGCATGTTGTATTAATGTAACTATTTATTGAGTATCACTAATAATAAACCAATGACCACAATACAGTATGAGGAGGCACATTTTGACCACTCAATCATTGTACCGATCTCTCCACTTTGACTCCTCCCGTAGTTATTTAAATAAGTAAACTGATAATGTAGCCAGCATAGGTACATCAGTGATATTCTATACCATCATCGAGGACCTCAACAGAGGCAGAAATCCAAAACTAAGGGCTACACCATTAACAGCACATCACATTTTGTATTAGTTGAATGAGTGTTTGAATTAGCATACTCTTTTCAGCTGCTTGTTAATATTATAAAATTACTTTAAGCACCTTTAGGTCTCTCCTCTTTTTCTATTTTCCTACCTTTCTGAGATGGATATATGGTCAGAACTAATTCCATAGAATTTCTTAAGTCCTATTTAAAGCGCAATCATTCTAATTCATTACAAGGTCAGCTAGCTAATAGGATAATTGACATAAGTAGGGAGCCTTATCACCTCTCTCCTATGCAGTCAGGTACCATAACAGCAACTATAGTATTTTAACACCCAAGGTGAGCTTGGAGATTTTGTCCAAATAGTATAAGATCAGTGGGCAAATAAATGAAGAAGGAACCAAGTTCATCGTAGTCAAGAAATAAGAAATAAAGCTTTTGATAAAGGATATAAGAAATAAGGTTATGCAAGAGAGTTGCTGAAAGTGAAAACAATCTACAATTTTCATGAAGCACCTCGTAACCAAAATTTTCCCTTTAGAAACAATGACTCCTCCATGATTAAAAAGGAAATGGTCTTCCCTTCCATGTTTTTTTATAAGTGGCATGTAATCCAAACAAACTAGACTCCAAGACCTCTTCCAGGCTCAGGAACAAAATGATTCCAAAAAAGGAAATAGAAACCTTTTTTTGTAAGGGAGGAAATAGAAGTAATCAACCAACATAAAAACACACTATGTCCCTACATCTTTAGGATAATCCCTCTTACATGAACTTTTAAGTTAGAGAAGTGTAGCATAAAAAATACAACCTCTATGGTCAAGCTTCAAACGAGACCTTGTTCTTCTAAGGGAAGAATGGATTTGTTACTTTCACATGTTACGCATTAGCCTTCAGTGTTACAATATCACTTACAAGAATTGCCAAAATGGTAGTGTGAGTAGCAGTAATAATCAACGAAAAAGAAGTGGAAGATATACAAGAGTCTTCGACTGTAAGAATTCAAAACACCAGCACAATTAAACCCCCAAGGAAAACCACAAATATTTTTATGAAATTAATCTTTGATATATAAGGTAAATTAGTCATGTGAGGTAAATTGACCAAAGCATAAAGAAGATTAATAAATTCAGAAGTCATTCAAGGACAAGATGCCTACCTTGACATTATTGTCGAAATAATTGTCAGAGAACTGCTTGGTTCAGTTTTAAAATCTAATGTACTGCAGAAGCAGCTAGAAATCTAAACATGCGAACAGAAAAAGGAAAAGAAAATCAATATAAAATTAATTTCAAGAAGCAGAGATAGGTAAGCAAACCAAGAAGCTTTATCAACCTCATTTGCAAGATTACAAAGTTCTTCGGTATCTTTCTCCGTAAACCACCCGCTCTGACAAGCGTTCTATCACATAAAGAACCAGGTCAATGAAGAAATTGCAGGAAGTGCCAATAATGACATTTTTATGGAAGTCAAAGTGGTAATCAACAAGCTCAAGTATGCCTTGGAAAACACCATATAGTTTAATAAACAAACAAACCACCAACCTAGGCATAGAAGTTTACAGGGTATGTCATTCACAATAGTGGAAGATAGAGCTCGAACAATGCACAGGAGAATTTCATTGGAGGGGGAAATATTTATCCGACCAATCAATTGACTGAGTCTCAATCCTAAACTAGTTGGGTTCCGCAATATGAATCAGAGCTTCTTAGCGCTTGGGCCACCACATATAAGCGTCTATCCCTCCTCTATCATTTCTCTATTTGGAATTTTGGACCCATTTCAATTATATGTAAGTAATTTGTCTTTTATGACAGATTAATATTCTCTAATATAGAGGTTCTCCACATCTAAACTTGTCCCTAAAAAAAGTTAAGGCTTAATCCAAGACAAAACAAATAGGTCTTAATCCCATAGGTTAGTGCTGCATATATGGATCCTTTTAACTCCACTGTATTCTATTTTTAGCTATATCCACATCGAATCCTCATAGAGATTGCAGCTTGAACCAAATTGATGACTTTGGGCCAAATGGAGAAAGAAGACGGGGATAACAGAAAGGAGATTCCCTTTGGTTAGTTGGAGGAAATTGCCACGGCAGAAGAATTTCGTGGAGACAAAAGTCAAAGGGTTCTGTGGCTTCATAATGGACATAAAAATACGAGTTTCTTTCATAAGATGATGAATGCTTACAAAAGGTACTACAACGTCGATAAAATGGGGATTAAAGGAGAACTGGTTGATAATCACGCTAGGATTGAAAAGCATATACTGGTTTTTATGGCAATTTGTTTAAGGAGGAGGAATTGAGGAGACAAGATTGGCGTGATAAATCTGGTCACACTAGTATGAAAGAGAATGGCTCCAGAGCCCCTCTACTAAGGAAGAAGTGCTTAAAGTCGCTAAAGGTGTTGACGATAAAGCACCCATGGAATTACTATGGAAATACTAATTCTTCAGCTAATATATTCCCGAGAAGTCGAAAACTAAGTGATAAAAGTTTTGTGAAATCTTCTAAACCCCTTCCCACACTATACAAGCTTCTTCCAAAGCATACGGCATTCTGGATGTAGATGATAATACCTATACAAATGGGTCTTATATATATCGTAGAATGAAGTACCACATGGGTGGATATATATGTGAGTGTGTGTGTAGAATATATATATATATATATATATATATATATATGAATTCAGATCTTCTACATCCTGGGTCTTCCCGTTCAGCCACTAGCTTATGTTCTTAGCCATTTTCCAAAAATGATGGTGCATCTTGAAGAATGATATTATGGATACATTCAAACATTTCTTCTTGAGAGGATGCACGGAGAAAAGCTCTTACGCAACTTTTGTTGCACCCGTACCTAAGAAGCTGGATGCAAAGGATGTTAGATATTTTAGGCCAACTTGTTAAGCGCGAAGTATTTATGAAATCCTCTCTAAATGTATAATGTGGAGCATTTTGCTTGAAAGGAACCAAAGATGCTTTTATGGAAAGAAGAAAACACTTATTTAGTTACCAGCAGTATTCAATATCTAAAAAGGTGACTTATGCTGTTTATAAAAACGATTACTATGTAAGTTTAGGCATTCTGGACTCCTCAGAGGTTCATAGGATTCTCTGCTTTGTAATGGTTGTTCACATTCAGTACTAGCTTGGTACTGAATGTTACCAGTAAAATTTCCCTGTAACACACATTCTTTCAAATTTATCACATAAAAGTTGACTAGTTTCCAGAATTACCTTGACAGAAATCATAAGGACCATGACGTGCTAGCATTGAGGAATCACAATGGCGTCTGCATATCTACATCATGAGATGAATTTAGCAAAAGAAGAACTTAAACTTCGGTTATTTATCTGATAAATAGGTGAACTGTTACAGATAGGAAACTATGGCCTAAATAAGAAAATTTGCACACTTGGGATTGAAGAGTACATAATCTTTGCAACCTGGATTTTACAGATCACATGGTTTGCAATCAGTCAACGGATTGCATCAATTCGCAGCTCAATCAGAACAACATCAATACATTTAGAGCAAAAACGTGATCGGAAGGGCGATACTGCATGTAAATTAACTTTCTCAAACGAACTTACAAGTCTTCTATAGTAGATGAAAAACAATGTGACTGATCAACACAAAGGAAAATACAATGTGATTAACAAAAGAGCAATATACAAGTCTTTTATAGTTCTATAGTAAATGAAAACATTGTGATTAACCATAGAGAAGCATAATTTGGGGTATCAGCACTGAATACACAGGAGGATTTCATAATATATTAGGATATTACCAAAGCACACCAGAGCCAGCAAATATGAAGGTGTTTCTAAGAACCAATTTTTTTTATCTCTAACTCCTATGGGATAAAGATGTCACACCGTCATCGACAAGACATCAGTAAGGAAATAAAATATTTACAATATAAAAAATCACACGAAAAAAAGAAGATAATATAGCATAGCATGTTCATCATTATCACCAAATATCAACCTATAAAGTACTGCGCAGCATCACAAATACATCCATCCCCCTTGGTCAGAACCCGAGTGTTTTACAGATAAGAAGACTGGTTTCATTCAAGTCATAATCTGTCAACCATTGAACTCACTTCACTTTTGGTGTTAACTATTCTATTTTGTGCACCATCAGCAGAATTTAAAAAAAAACATCACTTAAAGAATACCCAACCAACTAATCTTTAAACCCGAGTTAACATTATAAGAAGGTCGCACAATGCTTTTTGGATCCAAGAGTACTAGAGCGATGATAGCATTGGAAGGTCTAATTCTCAAAACCCAGCCCCCCCCCCCGCCCCACCACAC